AAAAAAAAGAAGAAAGAAAGAAAGAAAGAAAGAAAGAAAGAAAGAAAGAAAGAAAGAAAGAAAGAAAGAAAGAAAGAAAGAAAGAAAGAAAGAAGGAAGGAAGGAAGGGATTAACCAGTGAATGAGACTCACCAGCGCCCGGCTAGAGAAGCTTTAATTTTAGTCATTGAATATCCTTGAGCCTAGAAAGAAGTAACTGTGATCTCTTAGCAGGTGGCTAAAATCTTATGGTTTCAGTGTTCAGACAGCTGAGAGAGGGCCAAAGAAGAAAGATACTGCAGGTCAAGATACCTGAGTATAGGAGGAAAAGGGAAACAAAATCAGAAATACCTGTGGGTCCCTGTACAAACCCTCCACCAGGCAACAGATGTGATGTGTGCTGTGATCCTAGTCCTTGACAGGTGGAAGCAGGAAAACCAGAATTTCAAGGCCACTACATAGTGAGCATTTCTCAACTACATAGTGAGCATTAGGGCACTTTGTCTCAGAAAACAAATAAAATTTGCTAACAGAACAGTTCGTGACTGAAATATGATAGGTGATAACTGTAGATCACAGTACAGGTTTGTCACAGTCAGGAAAGTCAAGGAAATGAAGAGATGCAACAGAGAGAACCACAGAAGCTCTGCACTGACTGTTCAGCTACGGACGTGCTGCTTAATTTTCATACTGTACTGTAGCTTCCTCATTGTTAAGACAGGATAATAAATCTAGCTAGCCCTGCCTGCCTCAAAGCAACATTCTGATGCGTAGAAGAGATGATGGCACAATAGCATTTTGTAAGCTGGGCAACACTATTTAGCTTTAAGTTGTTTTTAGAACAAAATAAAGCAGAACGCCACCTGTGTAGATTCGGAGGAAGAAAAGATAGCAAGAGGTGGCAGGATAGTCCTTGGATAAACTCAAAGCAAAGAGCTCTTCTGGGAATAGGTCAGAGGGAGAAGCCGGGACAGTAAGGAGTATGAGTTGACTACAGATTTGGTGATGAAGAGAGATTTTACAAGGGTGATCTGTAAGGAAGCTGGTGATAAAGTGGTTACTGGTGGTGAGGAAGTACTGGCTCTGGGATGGATTAGTTTGAAGGTAGTTGTCTGAAAAAGAAAGAGCAGGAGGGCTATGATTTAAGAGGAAATTTTTTCTTAGCCTAGAAGGGAGTAATCCAACTGGTGAGGAAAGCTGTAATTAAGATAGCTCAGATGCTTACAGCACATGCTGAAATACACTGGAGGAAGGGCCTGGCCTGGGGAGGTGCTCTCAGAATCATCTCTGGAAAAAACTCAGGTAGAGAGAGGCCTGAGGGTGGGAAGCGGATGTTCAGCTGGGCAGCAGTTGAGACGTTCCTGCCTGGTGGCCTCGATACTTCAGTAAAAATGTGAGGAGGAAATAAGAGTAGGGTGGTGTACTTTGAGAAAGGTGGGAAAGACTTGAAGGTGTGTTGAGAAGGTTAGCTCTTTGAAAATGGTGTTTTTCCTCTTTGTGTTACTGGCAGACCCCTGTAAACCAGGAACCAGATGTTGCTGCAAGTGAACTGATAGAAGTGGTATGGAGGAAAGATGCCTTTGATTTTTGTGCCACCATTCCTTAGCTTTCTGGGGCCTTGTTAGTATGCTTTCCATGCTTTGAAATATTATTGCCACACTTGACTCTTTTTATATTTGTAATTGAATATTTTGGGAATTGTCATTTTTGAACTCACAATGGAAAAAGATACTTGAAAATATTTTTACTAAAATATTTTGTTTATAGGTAACCAGATCCAGTAGTTATACCAGGAAGTCCCAGTTCCAGGTAGAAGAAGAGGACATTGAAAAGTTGGAAATCAGGTGTGTGCCTTGTGGTTTTCCTAGAGAACTGATTTTTTTCCCCCTGTGTGAACTTTGATAGAATTCTCTATAGCAGGTTGGTAGATGAAACTTAGAGGAACAGGCATCTAATTTAACCCAAATTATCTTTTCAAAATCTGATTTCTTTTCAGAAATACCTAAGTATATTTCTTATGTAGGCAAAGACAACCTAATTTCACCTATTCTACTTTTAATTTCCCTTAATTTAATTGTTCCTTAACTATCTGGATTATAGTATAATGAATGGAAAAGCAATTATATTTAAGCCAATTTAGAAATAATTTTTTTATTCTTCTTAACATATCTGCTGACTATCAGAAATTTCAGTGAGGTAAGGAGATAACTCCACAGGTGCATGTGTTTGAAGTTTGTGAGATTTCCTAGGTCTTAAATATCTATGCTGTTTTGGAAAGGAAACTTTTGCAAATGCATGTGTAGGTGTGGTGTTAACAGTGTGTTATCTAAAAGGCACATTAATCACGTGTTCACAGTGGTAGGCAATATTTTTCTAAGTCACCGATATTTACATATTAATTATCTTCAAAAGCGAAACTGTAGTTTTATATTGTTTGTGTTTTCAAATTCAGTTAAGTAACCCTTTTGCCCTTACTGCTACAGATTTAAAAGAGAACACTAAACTTTCAGATTTAAAAACATAAGTTTCTCCTTTTAGACTATTTAGAATTTGGCCAGGGAGATGGCTAAGCTGGTAGAGGTGCTTGTTGCCCAGCCATTCTACCTGAGTTCTGTCCCTGGGACCCACACGATGAAGGGAAAATACCAGTGCCTGTAAATTGTCCCCAAGCTCTACAAGAACACAGTGGCATGTGCCCCTCCCCCAAATTAATAAATAGAAATGCAATGTAGAATTTAAATTGTCATTTTTCAATAAAAGTTACTGTAGTACTTTGCTTTCAAAGTCTGGATAATGAGGTATATGAAGATGCTAACATCTCAATTTTAAGCATGTAAAATTAATGTTACAGTACTCATCAAAATCACTTGAAACTATTCGGTGTAGTTCACAAAGACTAAAGCTAGGTTTTCAATTTTCAGGATTGATTTGTGGAATAATGAAAACCTAGTCCAAGATGTTTTCCTGGGTGAAATTAAGGTTCCTGTGAATGTGTTAAGAAATGATTCCTCTCATCAAGCCTGGTAAGAAGACAATGCTCTAGTGAACTAAAGATGCTCAAGTAACACTCTTTAAGAAAGATGCATGCTTACTGGGGGTCAAAGTTACTGATATTAATTTGGTTGTGAATTTGTTATTAGAGAAAAGTAAGTACTTTAATAGTCATGATGCTTGATCTGTGATACTGAGGTAAAAAGAGCTTAGTTGTCTAGGAATATTTTTCTGTTTAAAAATAAAATCTTGGGGCTATAGAGATGGATGAACTCGCTGCTGTATCTGGACTGCATTTCCGATCCCAGTGAGACAGTAAAACATCTCATGAACCACTTATGAGAAGATGTTTGATCACAAGTCATCCTATGCAGTTCAGATACTTGGCTTTTTGGTCACAAGAACTGTGGGTGAGAAGCAAAGGGCTTACTGAGAAGATGCAGTTGTTTTTTGGGGATTGGTATATGATTTTCCTACACCACCCACTGTTAAAAATGCAGATAACCTTGGTGTATATTCTGAGAGTAGAGTGTTGGCGTTGAACTGATTCGCTGTTAAGGAACTCTGGGAGCTCAGTATTGACTAGAGTGTTATTTGACCTTTTCATGGCTCTAGTGGTGATACTAAGTTTGATGTTAGTAAACTTAACATCAGACATTAAATTCATACTTATTTCAATGTGAAACAATTTGTTTGTCTATAGCTCTTAAAAAACTGTCCCTTTTGTTATCTTTGCCAGTGTTCCTAGATGGGTGTTCAACTGAGTATGTAGAAACATGCCTTTCTCAATTATCATATGTGTGTGTGTTTGGGAGTGGTGCTTGTTCCTGTGACTGTGTAAACATGTAGATGTGCATGTAAAGAACGGAGCTTGACACTGGGTATCTTTATCAACCACTCTCCTCATATTTTGTAGAAAGGACTTCTGAGCCCAGAGATCACTGATTAGCTGGGCTGGCTGGTCAGTGAACTCCAGGGAATCCATCTGTCTTTACCTCCCCTATGCAAGGATTACAGATGTGCATACAATTAAGCCCAGCTTTATCATGGGTGCTGGGAATCCAAACTCAGGTCCTCGTGATTACATAGCATGAACTTTATCAGCTGAGTCATTTCTCCAACTTCTGTCACTTCTCTTTAAAGATCACTTTTAAAAATGAAATGTAATATTTGTGCTTACTTAGAGAAAAATAAGTACTACCACATGTATACAGTGTGTAATGATCAAATCCGTATAGTCAGCATGTCCATCTCCACAAATACTATTTCTGTGTGTTGAGAAACTAATTATGCAACGTCAATTGTTATAGACCATGGTTACTAACCTATTGGGTTATACACATGAGAGCTGCTGTTTCCGCAGCTGCATTGAGAGCCCACGCCCTACCTTTCCTCTACCCCTTCTTCCTCCTGCCTTCTAGCAATGCTCCTTTCTTCTTACGTGGATCAACTTTAGCTTTCACAAATGAACAAGAACTTGTGGCCTTTATCTTTCTCTGCCTGTTTCACATGATAGAACTCCAGTTCCAGACGGATTACCACAAATGCTAGAATTTCACCCTGTGATAGCAAAATGTCTGTTGACGAGTGAATGGATTTAAATAATGTGGTGTGTACACACTGTGCAGTGTTAGCCGTGAGAAACACTTTTTAGAACTCAGTTTCTGCTGCCTGGAAGAGGGATTGACATTTGGATATTTAGGGATTCTTTTGTTGTTTTGTTTACCAAGACAGAGTTTCGACCTGTAATGTTGGCTGGCCTGGAACTTGCTATGTGGGCCAGACTGGCCTTGAACTCAGAGATCTGCCTGCCCCTGCCTTCTGAGTGCTGAGATTAAAGGTGTGCCACCTGGCTGATACTGAGTATTCTGATATTTCTTTTTGGTCTTTAAAAGAGCCTATGTTGCCGGGCGGTGGTCACGCACGCCTTTAATCCCAGCACTCGGGAGGCAGAGGCAGGCGGATCTCCGTGAGTTCGAGGCCAGCCTGGGCTACAGAGTGAGTTCCAGGAAAGGCGCAAAGCTACACAGAGAAACCCTGTCTGAAAAAAAAAAAAAAAAAAAGAGCCTGTGTCTTCTATCCAGCCATCTCATAGTCTCCCTTATTATAGACTTCTTTTTACATTATTAACTCCTCTAAAATAAGATGTATTGGTCCCTCTAATGACATTTTGTATCATTTCTAAATGCATCCGGGCGGGGGTGGGGGTGGAATAACTTTATCACTAAGAAAAATATATCAATGTTTGCCCCCTTATTATGCTATACTTTCTTGCATCTCCATGAAAATTTCTGAACTCAATTTTTAAGTCTTTAAAATAATACTCCATACCTTTTAGTACAGAAGAGAAAAACGAGTTGTTGTATCTCTCAGAGCCCACCACAATGAACTCGAAATCTGCCCCATGTCATGTAGTTTCAATGGCACTGTCTCTCAATATACTTTCCAAATTTGACAAAACTTTCTATGTCGGCAGACTACAGAATGTTAGCAGACAATTAGTAATTTTATTTCAGCTTCTTCTGTCAATAGTATAAATATTTTATGTGCACTTAAGTGCTGGTATCTTTGAGGCCAAAGTCGTTGGACCCTCTGGAGCTGGAGTTACAGGTAGTTGTGGCTACCAGATGTGGGGGCCAGGGACTGAACTCAAATCCTTTGCAATAGCACCATATATGATCTTAACCATTGAGCCATCTCCAGCTCCCAATAATACGAAAAGTTTAAAGTAGCCTATCAGAAGCATAAATGCTAAAGCTTATACCGCATAAAAAAGAATCTGCTCATCTCTGTGTATTGATGTACGTTGTAGGGAAATACAAAAATATTAATGCCATCTTATTTTCACTCAAGGTGCTCTGTCGCCTTCCTCACTTGTAGCGCTGTGGCATCCTCTAGTGGGGCTGATGGTAACTGCATGAAAACGCCAGAGTTCTTAATTTTGGTCTTGCAAAGGGTCATAATATCTTATCAATAGGCAGTCAGATTGTTTGAAGTTTTTCTATTTTCTTTTTTTCTAATAATTTCCTTTAGTACTTGCCTATTATATTGGACTCCTGGTTTTTGATAGTTTTAATTTAAGATTTTTATTTTATGTGAATGAGTGTTTGCCTGCATGTATGTGTGTGTGCTACATGTGTGCCTGGTGCTTGTGGAGATCAGAAGAGGGTGTCAGATGCCCTGGCACTGGAGTTACAGATTGTTGTGAGCCACCATGTGGTGCTGGGAGCCAAAACCCAAGTCTTCTGCAAAAGCAGCAAATGTTCTTAACTGCTGCTCCATTTCTCCAGGTTATAATATGATTCATCACTTTTTCTTTTTAAAACTTAGTTACATTTATCTGTTCACTTAACTGTGTGTGTGCATGTGTGTGTAGCATGTGAATGCCTGTAGGAGTTGTTGCTCTATTTCCACCATCTGGCTTCTGGGTATCCGAATAAGGTTGCCAGCTGTGTATCTCTCTAGTTGGCTCATGTTAGCAGTGGAACCTGGGAGAATGGAACCTAAAAATCAAGCAGACTAAAGTGCCAAGCAGTAACCAACTTCATCCAGAGTATTAGACAATTTATACCTTGAGGGTAAAGAAGAATCACGTGGATAAAGTGTACAGTCACAGGGACAAGTTGCATGTGACCCCCCCCCCCAAAAAAAAGTGTTTTCCATAGAGGCATATAAACAAATAACAATAGCCAGTTGTAATGAATAATTTAAGTAAACTCACTCCTATCCACTACACCTGGGAGGAGCATGAAAACATATTCCAAGAACAATTCTGTGGGTGTTTGTTGTTGTTGTTGTTTGTTTTGTTTTAAGAAACTGAGGTCACAGGACTTGTCCTTTTCTCACAAGCACTCAGGATTTCCCTTGCCGACTCCATTCTTAGACCATGTTCTGAGAGTCAGCAAGTGCTTTCCACTGAGCCATCTTTCGAGCCCCCTGTTTTCTTAATGATTTACCCCCTTAACATTGCTGGGTTTTTGTTTTGTTTTTTATGGTGATAGTTAAGTCAGATGTTAGCATTATCTTGTTCATGTTGATGCTAGCTAATTTTCACTTTACCCTGTATCGATAATAGAATTTGATTTGGTTTAAGGGTTGTTGTTGTTTGTTTGTTTGTTTTTCAAGACAGGATTTCTCTATGTAACTAACAGTCCTGGCTGTCCTGGAACTCGCTCTGTAGACCAGGCTGGCCTCAAACTCAAAGAGATTGCCTGCCGCTGCCTCCCACATGTTGGGATTAAAGGTATGCACTACTGCTGCCTGGCCATTTTTTTTTTTCATAGGTAATGCACTCACAGCATTTTCAGATAAAAAGATTCAAAAGAGAATCCTGCCTCCGGCCCCACTCCGCCCCTCAGCTTCTCAGCTAGCTCCTATTTTTGAGCCAGCCACTGTTCCCTAGTTTCTGGGAATATTTTCTGTATATATAGGCAAATATGTGTGGATATTTTTCATTCATGTGTTTGTTTTATTGAAATTAGGTAGCCTAGACTGGCCTGGAACTCAACATTTTCCTGCCTTTAACCTCCCAAGTGCGCACAATACCACACCCACCTGTTCCATGCTTCTATTTTTGCTTAACAGTATAGTAGAACATATATATGACTCTTGATAGTGGTTAAGAACTTGTATTCTAGAATCAAACTGCTTAGTTCAAATCGCATCTTTGCCAGGAATGATTTCCTCTGTATATGTACGTATTTCGTTGACATGCTGGAGATTGAATATGATGAGAACATTTTCACCGCTGAGCTTCACTCCCAGCCCCCGCTTTATTTTCAGTAGCTTACCTGTTTGTTTATCCCACTTGCTTGTTCCTCATGACCATCACTTGGAGGTGACAGTACTTTTACTTTAGGTACTTGCTACAACCAAGAGACAATGGAAACAAGTCATCTAAAACTGATGACCTGGGATCTCTTCGATTAACTCTATATTATACAGAAGACTATGTGCTTCCATCAGAGTACTATGATCCGTTGAAAACTCTGCTGCTAAAATCACCAGATGTTCAGGTACTTTAAAAATCTTACATGTATGACTCTATGTGAAAGGCTAAACAAATTCTGTAAATGATGAAGAAAAAAATTCATAGTGTCAGCTCTTAAAGAGCTCTGTGTACTTAATCTCTCTGAACCAGAGTGCTGATGTGTGCTCCAGATTTTATCTCTGGTTAGAATTTAGAAAACTAAATGCTATTTTATACATCAGTTGTAACTAATGTATGTATTTAAATTACATCCACAGATTGAACATGTAACCATGTTTCTTTGATTCTGTGCTTGTTTCCTGCCATTCTGTATCCTAGCCAGTATCTGCCTCAGCTGCTTATATTTTGGGTGAAATATGTCAAGATCAAAAGGATGCTGTTTTGCCTCTTGTACGACTATTGCTGCATCACAATAAACTTGTTCCTTTTATCACTGCGGTGGCTGAACTGGACTTGAAGGATACACAGTAAGAATTGTATTTCATTAAATGCTAATTATGCGTTGTTGTTTAATTAATTTGCCAGATTGTTTTTATAGTCTCAGTTGTTTTTTTGAGGTGTTTTGTTTTTTTGTATTGACCAAGTTTACTGTAGAACAGGTGAAAAAGAGCTCCTTACTCAGTAACAAAAGACAGTTCTTAAAGTTACCAACAGAAGACTGGGCAGTGGTGGCACACACCTTTAATCCCAGCACTCCAGGATTAAAGAGCCAGGTGGATCTCTGTGAGTTCAAGGCCAGCCTGGTCTACAGAGCGAGCTCCAGGACAGGCACCAAAACTATACAGAGAAACCCTCTGGGCGGGGGGGGGGGGGGGGGGGGGGGGGGGGACGGGGACCAGTTAATTCAGTAGTGCAGTTTCCTTTGTTACTATTACTGATCTTTTCTTCTTGATGCAGTGAATCACAAGTCAGATAGTAAGAACACTTTATAACGCACACATAGGACACTATGAAGAGCAATCAGATGGCTTTCCATTCCCATCATAGTAAGACAGCATCATCATTTTATGCACACACACACACACACACACACACACACACACTCACACACTATATTTGTTTAAATTAATAAATATAGTTTCTTCTTTAAACTGATGTTAACATTTTCAGAAAGTAGTTTGAATAGTTTTAGAAACTCTTAATGGCAGCAGACTTTCCTGTTAGTAGTAAAATTACTAAAATTGTATATATATAATCAAAGTCAAAATGTTACTGTTTCAAAACTTTTTCTTCTTTCTTTGCTGTACTTGATTTTTATCTCTTTCTATTTCTGTTTCAGAGATGCAAGCACAATTTTTAGAGGAAATTCCCTAGCGACCCGGTGTCTGGATGAGATGATGAAAATAGTGGGAGGACACTACTTGAAAGTCACATTAAAGCCTGTTCTAGATGAGGTATAGCATAGACCTCATGGCCAAAGTCTGTGACCATTGAGAGCAGTGATTCTCAACCTGTGGGTCGAACTGCCCTTGCACAGGGGTCTCCAAGACCATCTGCATATCAGATATTTACATTATGATTCATAATAGTAACAAAATTACAGTTTTGAAGTAGCAACGAAAATAATTTTATGCTTGGGGGTCATGACAACATGAGGAACTGTGTTAAAGGGTCACAGCAATAGGAAGGTTGAGGACCACTGCACTGGAGTTTCTCTTTCAAGAAGTAATATGTTGACTTGAAGGATCTGTCCATTCATGGGCTACTGAAGGAATAAGGATAGGCACTTTATAAGTAAATTACTTTGCCATCAGTGAATTTTTACTCACAAGGCACATCAATCTACATTATTGTTTGTTATATTTTTATTTTACTAAGTCTTTAAGAAACAATTTTGATACAATTCTTTGGGAAAGTGTCTGCATTGTACATATTATCTTCAGGAAGGGGCTTTAAACTTCTTAGATTTAATTTTTATATTATCAGAAAAAGCATTACTTGCACGTTGTCAAATTACCTAGGAAAGAACAGTAACTGAAAAACACATGTATTTTTCAGATATGTGAATCCTCGAAATCCTGTGAAATAGATCCTGTTAAGTTGAAAGAGGGAGATAATGTAGAAAATAATAAGGTAAGTTTATATAATGCAGTTTAGAGCTACATTAATTTTTTTCTTAATGTTATACCTGTCTCCCGCAAATGGTTTATTTTATGAGTGTTTTGCCTGTGTGTATGCTGTGCACCGCATGTGTAATTAGTACCTGGGGAGATCAGAAGAGGGCATTGGATCATCTGAGAATAGAGTTATAGATGGTTGTGAGCCACCACGTGAGTGCTGAAAATCAAACCCAGGTCCTCTGCAAGAACGTAAGTGTTCTTAACCACTTAGCCATTTCTTTACCCCCACCCTTAAAATTAAATAATGCCATGTGTCTGGAAACAATGTTGTTTATTCTTTACATGAGCCTTTATTTTTTCAGAACATTTCCTAGTGTTGATTTTACCTTATTTTAGTCTTAAATTTTTTAAATTATATCTGTGTTTGGAGGTGATGTGCACATGAATGCAGGTGCCAGCAAAGGCCTAAAGAGGACATCAGATCTTCTAGAACAGAGCTACAGGCAGTTGGGCTGCCTGATATGGGTGCTGGGACCTGAGCTTGGCTTCTCTGGGAGCTGACTTGTGTTAGCATATATTATAGATAATAATAGGTTATGTTGTATTTTCATACGTGTATAGAAGGCATTTTGATCATGTTAACCCCTTTTATCCTCTTTTGTTTCCTCTCCTACTGATCTATTTCCTCTTTCCAACTAGTCCTCCCCTTCAACTTTTCTTTCTTTTTTAATTGTGGGTATATTCATGTGAAAGGTATAGGTGCTGTAGAGTCCAGAGGCTTTGAATTCCCTTGAGCTGTAGTTGTAGGCAGAAGTGATCTGCCTGACATGGTGCTGAGCACCGAAGGGCTTCTGTGCGAGAGCAGTGTCTCGCAGTGTGTGTTCTTAGCTGCCAGAGCCGCTCTAGCTGCCACCTTTACTTCTGTTCTTAAAGTTTTGTTTTTAATTATTGGCCCTTCGTGTGTGTGTGTGTGTGTGTGTGTGTGTGTGTGTGTGTGTGTGTGTGTGTGTGT